GCTGTTAAACTGGTCCATGGCTGGGACCAGCAGTTAGCATAATGGCTATGTCGTTGGACTCCCACCTAGTCGACTGCGGTTTGAGTCCCGGACCTGGTGGCTTAAACCCACGCCGGCCGCGTGTGCGTGCGTGCCCAAGATCCCGAGAGGAGAATGGAGGAGAAGGGATTGCGGCATGGCCATCCCTCCTGAGGGGGTGATTTCTCACTTTCTATCTCTCTGTCTTTCTCTGTCTGTCTGGTGAGTGCATGCACCCTGTGGCAAAAACCTCTCCAAAAAAAGAAAAAACAAAAACAAAAAAACTGGCGCATGGCTTCTAAGCCCGGAGATGGTGTGATGGGGAGTCCATCTCTGTCTCCGATTACAGCAGAGGCTTCTTGCAAATGAAGCTGACTCAGAGTAAAGCATGTTTTTTTTTTTAAGTTTTTTATTGAATTATTTTATTTTACTTTATTCATTATTATTATCATTATTATTTTCCAGTTTGATCAGAGAGAGAGAGATAGGAAATGAGAAAGCAAGCCACCAGGTCCGAGACTCGAACCATGGTCAGCCATGTGGGAGTCCAGTGCCTTTAACCACCATGCCACTTGCCAGCCCCAGTAAAGCATGTTTTTATTCTTTTTTTCTTTTCTTTCTTTCTTTCTTTTTTTTTTTTTTTCAGAGATTTTTGCTATATTGTGTGTGCACTTGTAGGACTGACAGACCAAAAGTGAAAAATCTTCCCCCGGTGGCAAGAGGATGGCCACACCACAATCCCTTCCCCTCCATTCTCTTTTCGGGATCCTGGGCATGCATGCACATGTGCTTGGCATGAGTTTCAAGTTGCTGGGTCTGAGACTTGAACTGTGGTTGACCACGTGGGAGTCCAGAGCCTTCACCACTATGCCACCCCTGGGCCCCAGTAAAGCATATTTTACAGAGCAACTGGATCCAGCAGTACCTGAAGCTGGCATGCTCCAGTGCATTTCCAAATAAGTGAACCAATGGAACCCTTTGCTCTTAAGTCAGTGGGAGTAGGGAATCACACTGTTTACCGAATGTGTGCCAGATCCTAATTCTTCTCTTTCCTCTTGCCAAAATGTCCTCATTGCTGCCGACATTTGCAAACTCAGAGGCCACATTAATCAAAACCATCTTTATTATTTAAAGAGCATCTGTCATCAGGAGCACCGAGACGGGATTCCCCAGACGGCAGAACAATATTTACATGAGGGTTGGGAGGGTGAGGCTCAGGTGGTCCCAGGGCTGAGTGGGCCCGCCACTATGGAACAGATGACCTTGGAGGGAGGGGATCTTTGGACCTGTGGACTGGGCCCAAGAAGACTGTTCCATCCCAGGCCCAGCGCGGATCCCACCATGCGAGGCTGAGCCACATAGGTCAATTCGGGCCCCGGAGGTGTGCGCAGTGAGAAGCCACAGGTCAGAGCTGGATCACCATGCCGCTGGCTTCGGAGTGAGTCTGGGGAAAGACAACTGGGGACTTGCGAGGTCTGAGAGGCTCCCCTCCAAGTCCCACAGTTAGGCTCTCCTGTCCTCTGCAAGGTCTGGCGTGGGTTTCCTAAAATCTCCGCCTCCCTTTTCCCCCATCCCGGCTCCCATCTGGGCCCAGCTTTCACCTTTATGGCCTGGAAGATCCACTCCCGGAAGTCACTGACTTTGGTGTAGACGCCTGGCTTCTGGGCGAGGGCACAGCCCGTGCCCCAGCTTACGATGCCACACAGCCGCCAACGTGACGTCCGAGAGATGCTGTCCTCACACACGAAGGGACCCCCGCTGTCACCCTGGCAGGGCAAGAGGGGAGCTTGGCTGGCGGTCAAGATGGCTGGCCAGGAGCCGCCTTATGGTGGCCATGGCTGTGGTCACAGAGCCTGCCGGTCCTGCAATAAGGAATCCGACCACCCACCGCCCATCTCTGGGGCTGCCTCAGCACGGTCCCTCACCTGACAGGCATCAATGCCACCCTCAGGGTAGCCAGCACAGAACATCTTGGGTTTGATCTGGTTCCCGTAGAAGTCGGGGCCATTGCAGACATCGTTGCTGATTATGGGGACTCGGGCCTCCTGGAGTACCCCAGCCTGTTGTCCTGGGGGTGTGCAGGCAAGGCTGGCCAGAGCTGGGGAGCAGGCACACCCCTTTCCCCCAGTTGCCCATCCCAGACCCCTCAGTGCCCCTATAGCCCAGCACCGAGAGCCATTCAACCAGCCAGGCTGCCCTTCGCCAGCCCAGTTCGGTGTCTCCCCAGTGAGGGTGCCGCAGGCAGAGGGCGGGACTCACCGTAGTACTGCGTGTTGCCCCAGCCGGTCACCGTACAGATCTTGCCGTCCACCGGGGCCTGGCCGGCCGCCGGGAGGCACACGGGCTGGATGTACTCTGTGAGAGAGACCATGCTGCTCCAGCCCCTGCCGGCCCGCCCGAGCTGGCACAGACCTCAGCCCAGAGGCCTCCACCGCCCAGCACGCCCTCCCCTTGGTCCTTCATACAACCACAGAGCACCTGCCATCTACTGAGCGCTCACTGTGCACTAGGACAGCCTGCATCATCTCCTGGAGCCTCCCATCGGTCAGGAAGGGGTGGACTACTAGTACCCCACTGTACAGAGGGGGAAATAAGGCCAAGGAACTTGTCCAAAGTTTCCTAAAGTCACTGGGGAGCCAATTCCCCAGTCTCTATTCACCACCTGGGCCATGGAGTTTCCCCCAGACTAGAGGGCACCTTTGAGATAAATGGAAAAAATATCCCAATCTTGAGACATTTGGCTCCCATTGATAAGAAAAGCATAATATGGGACCAGCAGTTAGCGTAATGGCTATGTCGCTGGACTCCCACATGGTCGACAGCAGTTCGTGTCCCGGACCCGGTGGCTTAAAACTCACGCCGGACGCCTGTGCATGCATGCCCAAGATCCCGAGAGGAAAATGGAGAAAGGATTGCGGCGTGACCATCCCCCCTGGGGGGTGATTTCTCGCTTTCTGTCTCTCTGCTGTCTAGTGAGTGCACGCGCCCAAAAGCAAAAAAAAAAACTCTCAAAAAAAAAAAAAAAAGAAAGAAAAAGAAAAGAAAAGCATAATAAATACACAGGTCTAGAACCAGCAGGTGGCATCAAGGTTAAGGCAGCTGGAGCCCACATGGCCAGTTGAGCAGTTCGAGTCCCAAACTTGGCAGCTTGAAAATCACGCTGGGCACGTGTACGAGTGTACCCGAAATCACAAGAGGAGTATGCAGGAGAAGGGACTGCAGTGTGGCCACCCCCCGGGAGGGGTGATTTCTGTCTCTTTCTCTCTCCAGTGAGCACATGTGCCCTATCGAAAAAACTAAAAATAAACACATACACAGAGCTACACTGAGACATGGCCCGATCCTTGTTCAGGACAAGGCGCATGCGTGGTCCTGGTAGCCCTGACTGCTACCAGTAGGTGACTACCTGTCTGGTCCCAGAGCTCCCAGCTGGAGAGTGGAAAATAACACTTGCTTTCCCCGGAGGTTGTAGTAGCCTGGAGAAGCACCGAGAGCATGCCTGGCCAACGGGAAAGGCTCATAGAACCAGTCACAGTAATAAACCAAACGACGGCAGTAACTAACACACACCCAGGATCCGCGCTGCCGGGACTTTCCTTTCTGTTGTTTTCCTGAGGTGTTTGCCACAGGGAGCGTGCACTCACCAGAGAGACAGTGAGAGGGGAAGGGAGAACTCAGTCCCTCAGGGGGGTGGTGTGCTGTCATCTCCACCATTCTCCTCTCCTCTTGGGAGTTTACGCAAGCACGCACACGTGCCCAGTGTGATTTTTCAAGCCACTGGGTCCAGGACTCCAACTGTGGTTGGCCACGTGGGAGTGCAGTGCCTTGATCGCCATGCCAGCTGTTGGCTCCTGTGCTGGTCTTGTTCTAAGTTCTTTAGTTATATTGACTTTTTCAATGGTCTCAACAACCCTAGGCAGTCATTTTACAAATGAGGAAAACTGAGGCACCGTGAGAAGTCACACGCCCCAGATCTCAGAGCCGGCAAGTGCAGTACCAGAAGCTGACTCCAAAGCCCACGCCGTTACCCCCAGCCGAGTCAGCCTGAGTCCTTCCCCACCTACACGTGACCCCATGGACACTTCCTTACTACCATGATTATAACTCCCTCTCTCTTTTTCACCAAAAGGGGTTTGTTTAGTTTGAAATAAAAATGTATACCGCTCCTGGGACCAGCAGTTAGCGTAATGACTATGTTGCTGGACTCCCATGTAGTTGACCGCGGTTCGAGTCCCGGACCCAGTGGCTTAAACTCACGCCGGACGCGAGAGGAGAATGGAGGAGAAGGGATTGCGGCATGGCCATACCCCCAGGGGGTGATGTCTCCCTTTCTGTCTCTCTGTCTTTCTGGCAAGTGTACGTGCCCTATAATAAAAACCTCTCAAAAAAAAAAAAAATATATATATATATACCTCTCCCTTAAGTGGAAAACTACTTCTACAGATCATGGAGAAGAAAATGCAGAATGGAACGCAATCCACGAATGGTACCGAACCCCCGGCGGCATAGCCGGAGTGCTACCATCACAGGTTCCAGTGCCCGCGGGCCACGACTCACCCCTTTGCCATTTGCCAGCACTGAGAATTGGGGGCAGTATTGAGAAGCCACCCCCACAGGGCTGCCCTGGGAACTAAATGTGTTTGTGTGTGTGACACACTTAGACCCCGGCCTGGCACGCAGGACGTGTGGAGCGAGTGTTGGTGTGCATTACTAACATTCCTCGCGTACTGTCACCGTCATCACTGCTACGACTTCACTACTATCATCATAGTCATTCTTCTTTTAGTTCACTGTGGGTGTGTGTGCTCGGCAGAGAGAGAGAAAGGGGGTGGGGGAGTGAGAAAGCACCTTCTTGGGGGATGGCCACGCCCCAGTCTCTTCTCCTCCATTTTCTTTTTCTTTCTTTCTTTTTTTTTTTTTTTGAGAGGTTTTTACTATAGGGCATGTGCGCTCACCAGACAGACAGAGAGAGACAGAGAGACAGAAAGCGAAAAATCACCCCCCAGGGGGGATGGTCACGCCGCAATCCCTTCTCCTCCATTCTCCTCTCGGGATCTTGGGCATGCATGCACATGCGCCCGGTGTGAGTTTAAGCCACGGGGTCCGGGACGTGAACCGCAGTTGACTACGTGGGAATCCAGCGACATAGCCATTACGCTAACTGCTGGTCCCATCTTCTCCTCTATTTTCCTCTCAGGATTTTGGGCATGTGTGCACATGTGCCTGGCATGATATGCAAGCTGCCAAGTCCAGGACTTGAACCATGCATCAACCATGTGGACTCCAGCCACCTTCACCTCCACGCCACCTGCTGGCCCACAGCATCACCATTATTCTTACCGTTCTACACTAGGGCCTGTTCAAAGCTGAAGCCCAAGGCCTACTCTTAACCAAAGAGGAGAGGAGCCTGAGAGAGAAAAGTTAAGGACACACCAGCACCCATGTGAGTCTTTCTCATTGAAACCAAGGAAATGTTCCCGAGAACTGCAGAGGGCATAGCTCCTAACTTCCTGATTCATTCATATATTTTTCTTCTTTTTGGTTTAAGTGCCAGAGGGCATATGCGCTTTCCAGAGAGAGAAGAAAAAAGCATTCCCCGTAGGAGGTGGTCACACTGCAATCCCGTCTCCATCTCTCCTCCTGTTGGGATTTGGGGCACACGTGTCCAGCATATTTTTAAAGCTGCCAGGGCCAGAGGGCAGCGGGTTCTGTGGTGGCGAAGGCAGCTGGATCTCACATGACTGACTGCACGGTTTGGGTCCTGGGCCCAGTGGCGTGAAAACCATGCCAGGGGTGTGTGCATGCAAGGCCAAAATCGCAAGAGGAGAATACAGAAGAAGAGACTGTGGTATGGCCATCCCCCCTTAGGGGAGCTTTCTCATTTTCCCTCCTTCTCACTCTCTGTCTCTCTCCAGTAAGTATACATACCCTATAGAAAATTTAAAATGAGGGGCGAGCAGGTGGCATAGTGGTTAAGGCACTGGACTTCCACATGGCCAACCACGGTTCAAATCCCGGACCTGGTGGCTTGCTTTCTCACTCTCCCTTTCTCTCTGTCTGTCATTCTCTGGTCAAATTGAAGAAGAATAATAAATTGAATTAAAAATAAGTAAATCTTAAAGAAAAGGAAATTTTAAATGAAATTAAAAAAAAATAGAGCTGCCTGGGCCAGGATTCGAACAGTGGCCAGCTATGTGGGATCTGTCTCCCTTAAGCATGGGGGCATGGGACTGGCCCCATTCAAATATATTTATTAATTTCATTATTTTTTTTGCTAACAGTTTCATTGAGCTGTAATTCACATACCATACAAGTAGGAGCCCGCATGTGACATGATAGTGACAGTCCTGGACTCTCACATGGCAGAACACGGTTCAAGTTTCAAACCCAGTGGCTTGAAAATCACAGTGGAGGGACCAGCAGTTAGCATAATGGCTATGTTGCTGGACTCCCATGTCGTCAACTGCGGCTCGAGTACCGGACCCAGTAGCTTAAAGTCACGCGGGGTGCGTGTGCGTGCGTGCCCAAGATCCCGAGAGGAGAATGGAGGAGAAGGGATTGCGGCATGGCCATCCCCCCTGGAGGGTGATTTCTCGCTTTCTGTCTCTCTGTCTCTCTCTGTCTGTCTGGCGAACACACACGCCCTATAGCAAAAACCTCTTCAAAACAAAAGAAAATCACAGTGGGTACATAAGCATGAGTGCCCAAAATCCTGGGAGGAGAATGGAGAAGAAGGGATTGTGGTGTGGTCATCCCCCTGGGGAGTGATTTCTCACTTTCCCTCTCACTGTCTCTGTCTTTTTCTCTCTGGAGAGCATATATGACGTATGGCAATACTGTCTTTTTCTCTCTGGAGAGCATATATGACTTATGGCAATAACATATAAAAAAAAAAACAAAAAAACAAAAACAAAACAAGCAAATGGTTCCTAGTATATCACCAGCACATGCAACCGCCACCATGCATACAATAATTATTGTAGAACATATCTTAGAACATTTCCTCAGGGCCAGCAGGTGGCGTGGCAGTTAAGGGAGCTCGACTCCCACATGAACAGGTTCGAGTCCCGGACCTGGCAGCTTGCTTTCTCACTTTCCCCTCTCTCTCTCTGTCTCTCTCTCTGTCTCTCTCTGTGTGTGTTCCTCTCTGGTCAAATTAAAATAAATAAATAAATAAAATTTTAAAAATGAAATAATTCTTAAAAAAAAAAAAAAGAATATCTCATCAACCCACAAAGAAACCTGCAACCTTTACCAACCTCGCACCCACCTCCATGCTCCCCCATCCCCCCTTCTCCCCTAGGCAGCCATTACCATTCATCTACCTTCTGTCTCTACAGATTTGCCTAATCCGAACATTTCCTAGAAATGGCATCATCTGCCCTTCGGGACTGGCTCCATTCAAGACCCTCCCCTGCTGCTGTAGGAATCAGCACTTCACTCATTCCTTTTTACAGCCAAGTATTATTCCATTGTGTGGACATACCACATTTTGTTTAACCATTTGTTAGATGATACGTACTTGGGTTCCTTGTCTTTTAACTACTATGAATCACGCTGCTAGAAACTGCCATGTTCAAGCTCCTGTTTCATTTTCCTTGAGTACATACCCTGGGGGCTGCATTGTTGGGTCAAATGGTAACTTTTGATGGATCAAATGTATAACTTTTCGAGGAACTGTCAGATGGTTTTACAAAGTGGTTGAACCAACTGTTCCTAGTTAATGCCTAGGTTGTGTCCCCTGGTTACCATGGATACTTGATCATAAGCTTATTTTCCTGTGACCCAGTCCTTTCCTCCTGGCCTCTGGAGTCCCCACGCCAAGGCTTAGTCCCCAGACTTACCCGTGAGGGGCAGGGGACTGGAGAGGTGGACCAAGGCGATATCGTTGCTGTTCTCCTCACTGTTGGGGTCTCGAAAGGGAAGGTAACCCCCATGGTAGACCACCGCCTGCACCCCCAGCTGCAGGCCGTGGGGTGAGGCCTGGGCCACAGCCCCAGCAAACACTCGCCATCGAGACAGGACCCGGTTCCGCCTGCCGGGGAAGAGGAGGGCAGGGTGGAGGCCTGTCTGGGCGCAGCCTCCCAGCCACTCCACCTCCCGGCCTCCATGCCAGCATGAGGGGGACACTCACTCAGGGAAACAGTGGGCAGCTGTCAGCACCCAGTCTCCAGAGAGCAGGGACCCCCCGCAGAGGTGTGCGCCATCGTAGCGAAGACTGACTTGCCACGGCCACCTGCCCAGGCTGGTGTCCTGGCCCCCCACAATGCGATCGACAGGCAGCTTCCTGCGCCCACAATCTGTGGGTGACAGGGCGGTCAGGGGTGGCAAAACTAGATCATAGCCCAGGTCCCAGAGCCAGGAGTGGCCCTGCCCTGGGAGCCAAGGGGACACAGCCCACTTGGGGACCCCAGGGGGAGTTCCCAGGTCTCACCTTGGCAGATGGCAGCCAAGAAGCGACCCCGGGGACAATCACTGTGACGGAGACAGGGGAGACACAGCGGAAACAAAATATAGAGACCAATTAAGACAGAGGAAAGAAAAGAGCAAGTGTGGGGTGCCCTGGGGCCGTGGGGGTCTGAGGTGCTGCCCACCCACCGCTGCCCTCCTCACCACACGGAGATGACTTCTAGCAGTCTCTGGGCATGCGGCAGCCTCCCCTCGTCCACGCAGAAGAAGCCCGACGTGCTGTTGGCGCCCGCTGTCCGAACGTCCAGCTCCGAGTGGGCCAGTGCCCTGAGCAGGGCGAGGGTCAGGCCTGCTCCACCCAGCCCTCCCAGCTCCGTGCCTCCGAGGGGCCCCCAGTACCTGAGGAAGCCCATCTCCTCACAGCTGAGCCCGGCCACTCGCGCGTTGGAGCGCGAGGAACACAGAAGCCGCCACGTCCCTTCTGTCTTGTCAAACAGCATGAGCCGCGCGTCCGCTGGGCTGACCTGCACTGCAGGGTGACAGGCAGGGGGCGCCTGGGTCCCACAGCCAGGATCCTGGCTCATGCCCAGCCTGCTCCCTGCTGGTCTGTTCTAGGAAGGGCCCCAGAGTAGTCCCTCCCCCACATTCGTGATTATTCCATAACATGACTCAACTCAGACCCAAGGACGACAGCCCTGGGACTCTGGCTGGCCTGACGGGACCAGGGCAGCTTCTCTTTCCAGGGACGCCTAAGCTGGCCGCTCATGGGCCATTAGTCTAAAACACGGCATGGACATCGGGAAGAGGGAAGCTGTTTCAAACGAGCTCCCAAGAGAATGACATGAAAGGCTTGATCTGTTGAAGGCCACCTTTGCCCGCAGGAGGAGGACATCAGCTAACCTGGAGGGAAAGCGAGAGATTTCTGATAACAATTTTTAAAAGCCCCTTGACACAGTCAGGCATGAAGAACCTCCAGAAATGTTGGTGAGGTGAGTTAATTTCTCCTCTGGTTTAGTCCTTTTCTTTAGTTGTTCCCTTTTGTTTTTTTGTATCTGGAGACCTTCAACTAATACACTAGGTTGCCAAAATATTTTAATAGACACCCTATAGTCTGGAAGAGAAGGAAGAGAAAAAGAGAGAGAAGGAGAAAGAGATGAGCCAGCTAGTGGCATGGTGGTTAAGGTGGCTGAGTGTACGGTTCGAGTCCTGGCCCCGGCAATTTGAGAAACACACAGGGTGTGAGTGCATGCATGCCCCAAATCCCAAGATGACAATGGAGAAGGGATTGTGGTGTGGTCATCCCTCCTGAGGGGTGCTTTCTCACTTTCCTTCTTTCTCTCTCTCTTTGGTGAGCATATGTACTCTATAGCAAAGCTTAAAAAAAGAGAGACAGAGAGAGAGTGAGAGAAAGAAAAAAAATACCAATCTTTTTTGCAGGACTTGTCAGAGCCTAGAATACACTAACATTCATAATTCTCCGAGCAGAGGGTACAGGAGTCACTCATTTGCATTCTGGGAAAACAAACATGAACTGGGCATGGACTCCCCACCCTGCCCTCCAGGTCCAGTGTGAGGTGGTGCTGGGGACACAAATGACAGAGACAGTCCTGGGCTCTGTGCTCACCCAGCAGAAGTATGGGGGGTGGGGAGACAGATAGCAATAAGAAAAGCCCCCCAACCAAGCACAGCACTGCAAACTGACACGCAGCCCAGCTGAGATATGCTGGACGGCCAGAGAGCGCTCACGGGAGACTGTTCATGGCTGGGACTGGCTGCGGGCAGTCCGTGTCGAGAATTTGTTCCCTGGAGCCCTTCCATCTGCCCTCACTGGCCGTCAGCGGGGCCCTGCTCTCACCTGAGTCAGGCACACCCATCGGCGCACTGGCTTATACTCAGCAAGCGCTCCGTGCATGCCAGCCTCTATTTTGGGCCATGAACGCATCGCCACACAATGACCAAACCACACGCAAACCTCTGGCCCTGCAAAGCTCAAAGCCCAGTAGGTGGGATGGGTACTGGATAGGACAAAAGAAGTAAAATAAAGCATGTGTCACAGAGAAGGAGCCACGGAGACAGACAAAGCTCGTCGGAGGACAGAAGCGCTGGCTAGCGTGGGGAAGCGAGGCTCCCCAAGGGTGGCGTATGCACAGAGATCCGAAGGAGGTGAGAAAGAGGCACAAAGACATGTGAGGGAACAGCAGCAAAGTAGGCCAAGGGAATTGCAGGTACAAGGATCCCAAGGCTGGTGGGCGGGCAGTGTTTGAGGAACAGCAAGGAGGCCCCGCAGGGTGAATGGGGAGAGGAGGGAGCCGGAAATAGACCAACAGTAGGACTTAGTTCTCACTTGTGTCAGGCGCACCCAGGGCAGGGCCCTGAGCCTGGAGGGCCCTGCCCTGGCTCAGTTGCTCCCAGGCCTCCCCTGGCTACAGGTGGGGAGCAGCCTGTGGGGGCAGCAGATCAGGGAGGAGGCTGCTGGGGTGTCCAGGAGGGTGGGAAGGAAGCTGCAGCAGGGTGGGAGCAGTGGAGGCGAGGAGTACGTTAGATTCTGGATGGACTTTGTAGGAGGAGCTGACAGATCAGGCTGAGACTGGATGACATGAATATGTGAAGGAAAGAGAAGGGTCCAGAACAATCCCAGGGGACAAGCAGGTGGCATGGTGGTAAAAGTACGGGGCTCCCACATAGCCAACGTTGGTTCAAATCCTATACCTGGTAGCTTACTTTCTCACGTTCTCTCTGTCTGTCTCTCTCTGGTGAGCACACGTGTCCTATAGACAACTCAATAATGATAAGAATGAAATGAAATCATAATCTAAGAAGAACAGCTCCAAGAATAAGCCAAGAGGTTTGACCTGAGCCCCTAGGACGAAGCTGACAGCAGCAGAGATGTGGAAGGTGATGAGGGAGCAGGTCTGCGGAAAGCCCAGCTGTGAACCTTTGACCTTTTCTCTCAAGCCTCCTGCCAGGCCATGTTCTGAGAGAACATTCTGGAATGTGGAGTCTGATGATCATTGCTCTGCATCATCTCAGAGGAACCTGGTGAGATCACACCCCCACTGAGTGGAATTTCTGCAGCCCCACAGGTCTGGACAAGCAAAGGCAGGACTTCTGGGGAGAACCTTGCCCCATTGAGAACCTACTGTGTGCCCAGAGCTATGCTATGAGTGTTCCCCGCCACATCATCAACCAAGTCCTTCCACATCCCCCGTCCCAAGGGTCACAAGGATAAACCCCGTTTTCCAGAGGAGGACGCTAAAGCGTGGAGAGCTGGATGACCTGCCTAACAGCACCAAGTGAGTGGGAGGCAGAAGAAGGATTTGAAATAGGGCCTGAGTGACCGCAAACCCCTAAGGCTGCCCTAGATAGTAGGTTTAGCCTTTGGAGGGTTAAACAACAGCAGTTGACCCTTGACCAATGCAGGGAGTTGGGGTGCTAACCCCACACACAGTCAAAATCTATGTATAATTTCTGACTCCCCCAAAACAAAACTACTAATAACCTATTATTGTCCAGAAGTCTTACCAATAACATGAATAGTTGATTAAGGCATATTTTGTATATGTAGTACATACATTGTATCATATTCTTACAGTAAAGGAAGTTGGAGAAAAGAAAACTTTTTTTTTTGGAGAGGTTTTTTTGCTATAGGGTGCGTGTGCTCGCCAGACAGAGAGAGACAGAGAGACAGAAAGCAAGAAATCACTCCCCAGGGGGGATGGCCACGCCACAATCCCTTCTCCTCCATTCTCCTCTTGGGATCTTGGGCACGCACGCACACGCACCCGGCATGAGTTTAAGCCACCGGGTCTGGGACTCGAACCACGGTTGACTACATGGGAGTCCAGCGGCATAGCTATTATACCAACTGATGGTCCTCGCTGTTTCTCACTTTTAAATGATTATTTCTTGTTTATATGAGTTCAAGGAACACAAAAAGTGTGTTCTGGGTCACCTAGTATGTTTTCCAAAGTTGTTCTATTTAGAGGTGTGAAAATCCCAGGAAAGTGAGGTAGGGAGACAGTTTTGGGGTGGCTTTTGTTTGTTTGTTTCCTAATTGCTTAGTGTTTTTGAAATGCCCAAGAGTAACTGAAGGACAAGGATGCTGGCCTCGGCCCCAGCTGGATCCGAACCGTGGCCCCGTGACTTTCCAGTCAGAGGCCCAGGTTGAGCTAGTTCATGTTGACAGCTTGTCTTTGTGCTTCCTCAATAAGCAAAGGTTTTCTGAGCACCTACTATGCACCAGGTACTGTCTGACCAGTAAACGCAGTGTTCCTGTCCTCCCGGGTTTCACCAGGAGGGAATGATTAACTATGAGTAGGAGGAGGGTTTTACCAGGGCCAGCAGAGGTGGCCACGATGGGAGGAAGAACACACAGTAGGGCATATAGGAAGGCCTTGCTCAACAAAATAAAAGCCCCAAGGGCAAGGAACAAAGTGTATGTAGCAAACTGAAAAATAAAAATAATGCATAAAGTTAACTAAATAATTATTTAACAAAAACAAAAGTCAACCTTTATTGGGTCGCCTGAGTGAGGACAGTTATCTAATTCTCACTGGAGTTTTCTCTCCCCTATGCCACTGAGGAGGAGACTGAGGCTCAGAGAGGGTCAGGACTGGAGTGAGGTCACAGCTCAGGAGTGACAGTGCCTCCAGGTGTGGGGTGGGACAAAGCGGGTGAGGCAAGGCTTGGTGCAAGGAGGAACGGGTCATTTGATGGAGGGAGAGGTGTCCTGGGGACTGGAGATGGGACAGTCCTGGAAACGAGTGACACAGAGTCCACACCCTAGGAGCCTTGGAGCCTCTATGTGGACTTGAGTGACTCAGCATACTTTTCTGGGTCCCTTTGCCACCATATGCAAAGCATTGGGAAGACAAGAGCTTCATCGTCCTAGACCCATTGGGTAAAGGCTTCACCCAGGGTCTGGCATGTTAGCAATGAATCCAACTGATTCTTGACCAACCAGAATATAGCTGCTTACACAACTATGTCCAGGCGCCTGGGTTCAAAGCCTCTTCCTGCCGTTTGTTAGCTCTGTGACCTGGGGCAAGTCACTCGGCCTTTCCCCATAAGAAAACGGGCTGTTGTGAGGATTTAATGATGCGTTCTGTCAACCCTAAGGCCCAGGCAGGGCCTCAAAGGGTGGCTGTGGTATTCATGTTGAGGTTGGCTTTCCACATCTGGGTTTTCATTTCTTCTCTGAGTGTGCACCGAAGACTTCACAGAATTAGACAAGGCTCACGGGTGCACAAAATCCATCCCCCCACCTCCTAAGTTCCCCTTCCTTCCTGCCGCCCCAGGTCACAGAATGGCAGCTTGGAGTTGGCGTTGGGGAAGAACCACTCATTCCCCCCATGGTTCGCTTCTGCACATAGTCATTTGTGCAGCCACTCACTCGCACGTGCCCGCGGACGCTTCTGTAACAGGCACATCTAAGAGCCACTCTGGCCCCTCGTGGACCAGCTGCATGTCTCCTCTGGTTCTCACTTTCCACGCCTATAAAATGGGGCCAATGGCCAATGAGAACGGCTAACCTCCTCGGAGTGCTAGAAAACGCTACTGACTTCATACCACCTCTCGTCAACATGTTTGGACCGTGTCCTATAATAAGAAACACATTTTCAGAACCAGCAGGTGGCATGGTGGTTAAGGCACTGGACACTCCCACATGCCCAACTGCGGTTCAAATACCGGACCTGGTAGCTTGCTTTCTCACTCTCTCTGGTCAAATTAAAATAAATGAATGAATAAATAAAATTAAATAAATCATTATTTAAAAAAAAAGAAACACATTTTCATATTGTCATGGAACCCCTGGGAGCTCTGTGATCGGAAGGAAACCACTGCAGTACTCTGAGTCTCAGTTTCTCCATCTGTGAAATGGGGAGAATAACAGCCCCACCCTCACGGGCTGCGGTGAGAAGGCAGTGGGCTTGCATGGGTACACATGCATAAAACCAACAGGAGCGATGAACACAATCCCTCTCACTGACAGAGCTGATACTCTGATCTTTTCAAAGCGAATCAATTGCATACTTTTCGAAAATGTGGTTTTCAACTCACTAATTTAATTTCATGATGCAGTAACGGGTACCACATTTGGAGTCTGAAAAACACTGGGTGAGACATGTGCAGTGCTCAGAATATCCCCCGTACCTAGCAGACACTCAACGCAAAGGCGCTATTACTATTAGCATTTCTGCATGCATTTGTTCATTCACTCAAGAAAGACTTCGCCTCAGCTCCTGTCCCATATGGATTTCCCCTAAGCTCCCCAGAGGGTCCCAGCCCACTCTACTCACCTGGATACAGTGGCTCCTGATCACTCTTGAGAAGAACGGTCACTGCAGAGAAGGTAGAGGTGAGGCAGGCAGGCTGGGGGCCGCAGGGGCAGGGGAAGTTGAGGCACAGGGACCATTCTCACCAATGGCCCAGGACGCCGCCCCGATGCCTGTCAGGAGCAGCAGGGTCCCCACAGTGAGAGCTGCCACCTTGGGTCCGGAGCAGCACGGCGCAGTCCGGCCACCTGCAACAGACACCATGTTGGGGCGGCTGCCAGGCCTGTCCCCGTCACAGCAGGGTCTGGGCACCGGGCCAGCTCTGCCCTGCCCCCAGGGCTAACTTCTCATGCCTGAGCCTGTTGTGTCCTGGACCCGGTTTCCCTGGGCCGAGCAGCTGGCAGCGCTGTCCCTCCCCTGCCACGTGGACAGCCAAGTGCCCAGCTCCCCAAGGGTTACAGCTGGGAAGGGGGCATGGCTGGGCCGCTGCCACCCTGCCTGCCTCCACCCTGCCTGCCTCCACCCTGGCGCTTCTGGGATGTCTCCTCCCCCATGACACTGCGCTTTCGTGCTTCTCTCATCACTCAGGTTCCCTCCTTGGATCTCTCACCTCTGCTAACTTTTCCAGAGGTTCGCGGGCCTTCTGGGGATGGCGACCCCTGACCTTTGCCCTCTTGGCAGCTTGCTGCTCTGGTGTTTGGCAATGCCTCACCGCCTCTTCTTTCTGCTCTTCTGAACCCGTTGCCTCTGACTATGGCTGGGGCCAGCAGGTGGCGTGGTGCTCAAGGTGCTGCCCAGCCAGACCCCTTTCAGAGGACTCAGCTCCAAGATCAAATTTTCCCCCAGACCTTGACCACCCCAGTTTAGAAATTCGCCGGCTTCACTTCAAAGTGTAGGGCTAACCCCTTCCTAGCTGAGACCTCGGGCAGGCGGCAACACCTTTGTGAGCCTCTGTTTCCCCACTTATTAAATGAATGTCCACCTAGCACCTCCTTCGAAAATAATACTTTCAAGTTTTCTTTTTAAATAATTCATAATAATAGCTGAAGTCTTAATCAGTGCTTAGCGTGGGTCCGGCACTTCTGAAATGCATTAGCTCTTCCAGTTCCCACCTCAATCCTACTGTAGGATTCTCATCCTTTAGATGGCACAGAGAAGTCGTGTCGCATGTCCACCGTGGCTCAGCCCGGCGGAGGTGACACTGAGTTCTAAACCACAGATGGGCTGCTGGCTGCCTAGTGTACAGCTGCAAGGCCGTACTCCCGCTCCCTGCACCACAGGCCCTGGCAAACAGCAAGTGCTCACTAGATGCTTTCTAAATCCGTAGAGCCGTGTGGGGCCGAAACACTGTCCTTCCCTCTCTGAGCCTCGGGATTTCCCCTGGTAAAAGGGAGCCGTGTTTGTTTACCGTCCGATGTCCTAGTCCTACCGTCCAGGTGCTCTGTACCCGGCACGTTTCTAGGCTCCAGGACACACCCCAAAACAAGACAGCTAAGATGATGGCTCTCGGGTTGTCCCTGCAGCACAGTGAGTTAAGCCCTGTGCCTGGGGAGTCAGATCTCATATGGCTGACTTTGGTTCAAGTCCTGGCTCAGGCGGCTTGAAAAATGTGCCAGGTACGTGTGCACGCAAGCCCCAAGTCTGCGAGGACGGAGAAATGAAGGAAAAAGAACTATGCTGTGGCCACACCCCACCCACCGGGGGTGTTTCCTCTCTCTCTGGCAATTAAAAAAGGCTACGGCTGGGGCCAGCAGGTGGCGGCTGGGGCCAGCAGGTGGCATGGTGCTCAAAGTGCTGGAAAACCACATGGCCGACCACGGCTTGAGTCCTGAACCTGGCAACATGCTTCCTCAAGTTCTCTCTTTCTCTCTCTCTCTTTTTCTCTCTGGTGAGCACATGTGTCCTATGGCAGATTTAAAAATAATTCTTAAAAAATTTTAAATTAGAAATAAATAATTCTTTTTTTCTTTTTGAGAGGTTTTTACTATAGGGCACGTGTGCTCACCAGACAGACAGAGAGGCAGAAAGTGAGAAATCACCCGCCAGGGGGGATGGCCACGCCGCAGTCCCTTCTCCTCCATTCTCCTCTCAGGATCCTGGGCATGCATGCACACGTGCCCGGCGTGAATTTAAGCTGCCGGGTCCAGGACTCGAACCGCGGTCGACTACGTGGGAGTCCATAGCCATTACGCTAACTGCTGGTCCCAGAAATAAATAATTCTTTAAAAAAATGAATATGGCTCTCAGGGTCTCACATGTTCACCATGGTTGTGGAATGGGAGTGGGAGACATGGCAAGGGAAACAGGGAAACAAGCCTGGTCATTTTTAGATTGTGGCCGAGGCCAGGAGAGAATAATGGAGGCTGAGGACTACAATGGGGCTTTTGAAGGGGGCTCAGGAAGGGCCTCCTCAAGAAGAGACTTGAGGGGACCAGAAGTTAGCGTAATGGCTATATCGCTGGACTCCCATGTAGTTGACTGCAGTTCGAGTCCCGGACCCAGTGGCTTAAACTCACGCTGGGCGCGTGTGCGTGCATGCCCAGGATCCCGAGAGGAGAATGGAGGAGAAGGGATTGCGGTGTGGCCATCCCCCCTGGGGGGTGATTTCTTGCTTTCTATCTCTCTGTCTGTCTGGCGAGCGCATGCGCCCTATAGCAAAAACTTCTAAAAAAAAAAAAAAAAAAAAAAAATAAGAGACTTGAGCTAAGACCCAAAAGGTAGGACGCCAACCGTGCAGCGACATCGAGGAAGAGCACTGAGCAGAGGGAGCAGCCCAAGCGACAGCCTGGAGGCAAGAATACGCATGACCCGTTGGAGCTAGAGAGGCTGCTGATGCAGCCGGGGCCAGGGACAGGAGCCAAGGCTAGGGCCAGCGAGGGAGGCCAGGTGGTCCAGGCAGAAGAGGGAGTTTATCCTCCCTGCCACAGAGGTCTTAGAGATCAAATGCCAATCCTTTCGCTAGGGATTGTGGGAAGACCAAAGAGGAAAGGCTGCTCAAAGCCATTAGTTGGGCCTGACTTGGGCTCAGCTGGCCTTAGCACCTGCACCCCCAGGGCTCTGGGTCTGGGGGAGTCTGAGTGGTGGACACGGCACCAGGCCAGCACTGGGACAGAGCAGGGAGTGGCCTGGGACTTTTCTGGGACTGCCATGCTCTGGGCATCTTAAGACTTTGAGAGTCCCTCAAGGCAGGAGGGAACAGACTGCCTCAGAGGCCAGCCCGGCCCTGCTGGCTGACCCCTGTCTTGAGAGGGCCTCTTGGGCCCATCTCCAAATCTGCCCCAACCTGCAGCCTTCAGCTGGTCCTGACTCCTTTGACCTGGAGGCTCTGGCACACTTGGTGGGGCAGGAAGCATTGCCGCCGTGTGTCTCCTGAGGGACAGGAAGAACCTTGCAAACAGGTGCTTCTGCTGGTCAGGAAGCACCCCCAGCCTATGTTGCCAGTGGGGGACGCATCCCCTCTGTGTATCATTGCCAGAACAAGAAGCGTTTACTCATTCTGTGTGAGAGGCTGCACCTCAACCCCATGACCCCTCGGAAGCAATGGGGCCTTCTCTCTCAGGAAGCCAGGCCTCCCAACCCCGCTTCACCCTGACTCTCGGCTCCCTGCTTCTCTGGCACTCCCTGGCTGCCCACGTCGTCTCACGGGACAGTTGTCTGTGCCCCGCATTGGGTTGCAAAGACTCTCACAGGCAACATCTCCAGCTGCGTCTCTAAAGTTCCACTCAATGGATAGTTCCACGTCTCGGTCTTCATTTTACAGGACTCCAACGCTCTGAATAAAATTCTTTCCTCTGGGCCAGGCAGTGATGCAGCAGTTATGCAACTAGACCTGCCCAGGGGAGGTCCTGGGTTTGTGCCCTGAGCCCTCCCACAGCACACAGGCACACCCATGTGCGTGCCTGTGACCCAGGCTGGCTGAGCCTGGCGGTGGACTGTGGCATGAAGACCTGGTCAGGGGTACCGCCTTCTCTCTCCATCTCTCTCACAGAAGCAATGCATGCATGCACTTTAAAAATTTACTCCTCTTTTGCCTCTGGGATACTGCACATGCTTGATTTTCCTTCTCCTTCTCTGATGGTGCTGTTTCTGCCAGCCTGCTCACTCCCTGAAATCCAGAGCTCATACAGGAGCCATGGCCTCCTCTCCCTCGCTGCTCCCTGCTCCTCAGTCTGTCTCATCCACCTATGGCCTGTTCCCCCTCTCTGTTCCCAGCCTTACCTTCCCCCTGGAGTCTCCTTCCCACCTACCAGGTCCCCTGCTGTTCTTCCCCACAGGCCCTGTCTCAGAGGCCCTCATCCCCAGGACTGTCTCTCCCCCACAGCTCTGGCTCCTCGGCCTGCCGGGCTCCTGGGTGACTGTCCTGTCCGCTCCTTCCTTCTTTGATGCAGCACTATTTAACCACTGGGCTCAGTCTCCCCTTCTGGGCCACCCTCCACATGAAAGCCTGGTGACCCTATCTAAGTATCAACTCCAACCTGTCCCTTCATTACCTAGAACCTTCTGCCTAGTGCCTAGTGCCTCCCCAAGACAGAATTTAAGGTCCAGCATTTCCAGCTTCTCTAGAATATAAACATGGCTTTTAGAGAGTTAGGGATTAAACCTATGTTTTCCCAAATTCCCAGACAGCCAGGTGGATCATTATCAAACATCTGGTAAGGTCATAGAGCTTGTCAAAGTTAGGCAAGAGACACTAAGAATGACCACCCGCGCCATCTAGTGGGCGGACCCTGCACTGCCCAGGACTCGCCAGCGCCTCACAGAACACAGTCCCAGCAGAGCCTGGCCCAGCCTGTGCACCTCCTCCTCCCTCCAGCTCCCCTTCCAGCCTCACGCCTGGAAATACCAGAACTATCTTTGCACCACCGCACACCAGCCACGTATGACCACCAGCATTCAGCCGTGCTCTCCTCTCACGCCCTTCCTCCTTCCACTCATCATTTGAATTGCAACTCAGATACCACCTCCTCCAATTCCAAGTCTCCGGCAGCAGCAAGAACCTCGCCTTGGGCATCTTCCAACAGCAATAAAAGTAGCACAGAGGCTGGCAGCAGCCCACACGTTTTTTAAAAATGAGACCGGGGGCGGCCACCAGCCACTGCGGCAATGGCTCAGAAGCGCACGCCGGCTCGTGGCCCTGCCCTGTCCTGCGGCTTCCCTAAATCTTTGCACCTTGTTAAAGGAAGGTACCGTGATGGTCATCCCCAGTTAAGAAATGAGGAGAGGCCCAAGGAGGTGCAGCCACTCAGGGTCACCCAAGCAAGAAAGTGCAGCATCAGAGCCCTCGGAGTTTGCATCCAGGCCTCTAGCCTGACAGCAGGGCTTCCGTCCAACACTGCCCCGAGCAGCCTGGGAATACGCGGGAGTCTACTCCACATTGGTTCTTTGTCCCCAGACCCACCTCTATCCATCTCGTCATTTTCTGCCTTTTTCCCCTGGTTCCTTTATCCTTAGGCCCCAGCCCTGATGCCTCCCTTCCATTGGCTCCAGGAAAGGAATCAATCCAGGGAACCAGCACTTAGCATAATGGCTACGTCGCTGGACTCCCACGTAGTCGACCACGGTTCGTGTCCTGGACCCGGTGGCTTAAAACTCACGCCAGGCGCGTGTGCTTGCGTGCCCAAGATCCCGAGAGGAGAATGGAGGAGAAGGGATCGCGGCGTGGCCATCCCCCCTGGGGGGTGACTTCTCTCTTTCTGTCTCTAATGCCTCTCTCTGTCTGTCTGGTGGGTGCACACGCCCTATAGCGAAAATCTCTCCAAAAGAAAAAAAAAAAGAAATCAATCCAAAGGCACCTAGCTCCATCATCTACCTGCTGAGCCAGGGCACAGCACCTCCTGAGCCACTGGAAGCCTGGCTTCATACTGGACCATGGCTGCATGGCTTGGGGACTGAATTACTAACCAACGCTGAGGCCAGAGGAGGGCAGAGATCCACACTCATCATTTCAGCCAATACTCTGCTTCCTGCCTGTCGTCGCATTTAAATCTTCAGGCCATGCTGTGAGGTGTGCACTATTACCCTCTCCACTTTACAGACATGGAAATGAAGGTCCAGAGAGGGTAAGCTGCTTATTTAGGGCTGCTTATTTAGAAAGTGCTACTGCCTGGGACTGAACCCAGCTAGGCTGGTTCCAGGAAGAAGAGGCGTCAGCCCCAGCAGATGGGGGAGAAAGCAGGAAGGAAAGGCCATCCCTAATTGGGTCTTCCAGCTGGTTCCCACATATGGGAGAGGCTAAGAGAGCCAGGTTGTCTGGAGTCACCCCAGGGGCTGCAGAGAGCCCTTGGGTGCTGACTACTCCATTGAGGGCTTGTCCCTGTCATCCCTGGGTGGCTTCTCTACTGTCTCTCCCTTTTCCATCCATCCAGGCTGAGTCCAAAGTCCTCTCTGTGCTCTTTTGCCCAAAGGGCCAGGAG